AAAAAAAAAAAAAAGGTGTTTGTTTTGGTACAGCATTTGGCCCACAAAGACCAAATTAGTTCAATTTCAACATACTTAGTAGGCCCAATAAAAACAATGATGCACCTACCAAAAGGACTCACAAAGCCAGAAGTGTCTATATATATATATATGATGTACAATATAATGTTCCCACATGAAGCAAGCAGAAGCACTGCACCAAAACAACATCTAAGTTCTAACAACCAAAACAAACCGAAATATCTTTTGGGTAATATATATGGAGACAGGTAGTGTTATGATGATTAGCAATAGCAATAGCAGCAGCCCTTGCGCGGCCTGCAAGATTCTACGCAGAAAATGTGTAGAAAAATGCGTGTTGGCCCCTTACTTTCCTCCGAACGACCCGCTCAAGTTCACCATCGCTCATCGTGTCTTTGGCGCCAGCAATATAATCAAGTTCTTGCAGGTATATTATTAACTGTGTTGTATATCATTAGTTTGTAGAATAAATATAGCCTGCAATATATGTGTTGTGGGACCACATGTGGCACCATATTATGGTGCCACATGTAGTGCTATAGAATTTCTGCTCTCTTTCTCTCCAACTAAATTAATTAATATATAGTTTAGAGAATAGTTCATTTTAATGTTTCTATAAATAAATTCTCTCTCTCTCTAGCTATTTCTCACACGTACATGTGATTTAATTGACAATTAATTTCAATTTTATGTGTTGTAGTGTTCTATTAATTTATGGCAACATATATTAATTTTTAAAAGGAGTCGCTAGCTGTCAAATTTATCATTAAGCAACTCCTTATCAATTTTGATTGATTTCAATTGAACAAATATGAAAGAAATTCCATTCTAACAAATATGAAAAAAAATAAGATAAGCAACTAATACAAAATTGATTAAAAACTGGAGTTCTTATATTCTATTTTTATTTTTTAGAAAAAAATAAAGACTATTTGAATTACTATTGCCCAATTTTGATAATCGGGGCAAAGGAGTGTAGTCTCACACAGTGAAGACATTCATAAGAGGGTGAGTCTAATTGCACCTTAGTGATGTTCTATCCGAAAATCAATTAGTGATGGGAGGAGTAGCTCACTAGACTTATAAACTATCATCATTTATCTTATCAAATCAATGTGGGACGACTCGCAAGTGATATTCTAACACTAGCAATTATTTATGGATAAATTTAATTATATGCTTGTATGCCAGGAAGTTCCTGAGGCACAAAGAGCCGACGCAGTTAGTAGCATGGTGTATGAGGCGAATGCACGACTAAGAGACCCCGTCTATGGTTGTGCCGGTTCAATTTCCCAACTCCAAATGCAAGTCTCTCAACTCCAACAACAGTTGGCTAAAGCACAAGCACAAATTCTCAGCTTACAATCCCAACATTCTTCTCTAATCTCACTCTATTCCATGGACATAAACTCATTCAATGACTTCACCAGTAGCCCACATACCAGTTTCATTGAAGACAACAACAACAACATTGGACTTCACTTGGACCCACTTTGGACATGAAATTTATTCATAGTCCAACTACTCCTAATCCACTATTGTCATTTTTATTTAAGTTTTATTTATGTTATATAGATAATTTTGGTGTTGAGAGACAAATTAAAGGAGATATATAATATTATTTTCATAAGTTATAATTTGAGAGATGAGAAAAATAAAGCCTAGCTAGCTAGCTGCATAGTTTAGTAGTTTATATAAAATTCTAATGATTATGTTAATCTACAGCTGATGAGATTGACTGGTGTGCATGTTGCATCATGTTATATTATCATTTCAAAAGGAGAGATGAGATGTCATTCTCCTAACTCATATATATATACTTCAACTTAAGACAACCTTTTTTATCACCTAACTAATTAATGCCTTTCCTTCCTATTTTTCATTAATTTCTTGTTGACTATCAAATTCAAACATCAAACTTTAGGGAAATACTTGGTCCCATTAAAGAATCATCGTGACGAGTGTTTTAACCGTTAGATCAT